CACCAGGGAAGCCCCAGAACTGCTCTTTGATAGTACTGATTCAGGCTGCTGAGAGGTGGACTCTGGCTTTGCAGAGCCTCTCAGGAGACCTTCCAGAAGGAACAAGGTTTCTGCTCCCCAAGCAGGTACCTCTGGATACCAAGCCAGTCAACCCCAAGCAGCCCCAGGCCAGGCACACTGATCTGAATTATGTCTGGACCCCTTCTTCCACCCTAGTCTGTCTCCCAGGGTCTTCTTGATGTGCGTTATTAATAATGTGTCCCCGTTTGTGGCCCCTGATAAGCATATGGAATTGTGAGGTAGGGGATGGAGTGGGGTGAACTGGGAGAGAGAGAAGTACAGGGTAGAACTGTGATCTTCTTTGTGATCTAACCCCTATAGCAAACTTGGCCCAAGCATCACCTCCTATAGGAAGTCATCCTAGGCCCACAGTGGAACTGAGGAGCCCCCAGACCCCACTGCACACTTCTCCCTGTATTCTCATTGAATGGCTGACGTGGAAAATTTGAAAGTGGTGCCTACTCTTCTGGGGTATGGTAGGCCTTGGTTTGCGGGTCTGGCCAGATTTCAGGCGTTGGCTAGGCGCTCTTGCGCAGGGTATTATCTGCACAACTCTGAGCAGCTGTGCTGATGATTGGGGTTCCAGGCCCATCTCCACCAGACTGTGGGGTACTCCAGAGAGGGGCCCATGTTTGGGATTTTGCATCTGAGTACAGTGGTCTCTGCTTGGCTGAGCAACAGAAAATACTGTGGGCTTTTGAAAGATCTAGACACCTGGGCTCCAATTTTAGAAAGTCTACCTCCAAAGGTCTGATGAGGGTCCTGAATCTCTGTATTTTGAAAAAGTGCCATGTGACTCTGATGCCCAGCTGGTGTCTGGCCCATATGAGGTGCCCTCGAGTGTTTGGTGACTGTGGTCATAGTGGTGCAGGATGTCTGTGGAAGGAGACTCGGGGACCTCCAGGAGGGGAGCTGGGGGACGTTGGGAAGGAGTGGCACTTTTATATATCTTTTTGTACTGATTGGACTTTGACCTAAAAAAAAAATGTGTGGCTGACTGATGAAGTGGCTGTCATCCATGGCAGGAACTGCAAACTCTAGGCCTGTATTTATACCTGGGGCTGCGGTCCTTAAGGACAAAAGTGGGTGGATCAGAGGAATGGAGAGCTAGAGAGCACACATCCCACCTCAAGGGGGCAGCAGCTGCCCAGAGCTTGCTCCGTGGGACTGTGAGCCCAGGGTGGCCAGATCTGGTTTTTCAAGATAAGCTTGAAATCATATTTCCAAGTGTAATTAATTGTCAACTAATTCAAAAATTTAAAGCACAGCATGGAGTGAAGACAACATGCCTGCTGACCGACTCTGGCTGCAGGCCACCAGTTGGCGCCTTTGGATCTAGGAGGATGCTGTTTAGGATTGGGCACTTCCAAGGCCAGTCTGCAAAGCCAGGACAGAGCCAGTCTTTGCTTCTAGAAAATCGATTGACTCCCCACGGGATCCACACAGGACAAGAACAAAGCAGGTGCCCAGAGGAGTTACCACCCACTTATAATTCAGCACATATTAACCTCCCACCATGTGCCAGGCTCAGTGCTGGAGATCCAGTGATGTGACAGGCACAGCTCCTGCTCTGGGGGACGCTTCCTTTTAACTAGAGAGACACACTTGAAATAAATAATTGCATGATAATGAATTCATTTGTGAAACATGAGGAGCTGCAGCATAGCATGGGGGTTAAAGTTCAGGTTAGGGCTTCCCTGGTGGCGCAGTGGTTGGGGGTCCACCTGCAGATGCAGGGGGCGCAGGTTCATGCCCGGATCCGGGAGGATCCCACGTGCCGCAGAGCGGCTGGGCCCGTGAGCCATGGCTGCTAAGCCTGTGCGTCCGGAGCCTGTGCTCCGCAAAGGGAGAGGCCACAACAGTGAGAGGCCAGGGTACCGCAAAAAAAAAAAAAAGTTCAGGTTAGATTCCTGACTCCACACCTAGCCAGTTATGTCACTTTGGGCAAATACCTTAACCTGTCTCACTTGCCTTGTTACTTGCCTGTGAAATGGGCATGATAATGTCATAGGGTTGTTCTGGGGATCCATTGAGATCATGCAAATAATTATTAGCCGCTGCCATGAAGTACAGAGAGCTGTGAGACCATGTGAGAGGGAGCCTAGGCTTCGCGGAGAACCCCACCAAGGCCCCCCCAATCCCAGCAATACTGGAGATTCTCCCCAGAGAGGGGAGTGGGAGGCCACAGGGCTCCAGCCTCCCATCCAGAGGGGGAATCTCCTCTATAAGGAGCCTGGTCTTATCTTCTTCTTGTTCCCAGCAAGGCCCAGGGACTGCTGCACACCCAGAGCTCAGTCCTCCTTGTACCCACCATTCTGCTGTAGCGGCCACAGGCATCTGGCCAATCTCCCGCCTATTTCTTCTCCCCTTGGATCAATTTCACAGCCCACTGGTCCCTAGTAGGATTGGTGCCCAAGGACAGGGAAGGTACTGCTCTTGACCACACTGGGAGAAAGCTAGGCATTTCCCACTATGGGCTAGAGCCCCTCCACTGAGGTTGCTGCATTTCAGAACTTCCTGGTGCCGCTGAAGTGCAGAACACCAGCTTCCACTGGCAGGGGCCTGAGCCATGCGGACACTGTGGACCTTCTATTTGACCTGGGCAAAGAGGGAGGAGGCGGACGGCAAGAGGCTTAAGTGCCAGCAATGTTTCTGGGGCCTTGAAGTTCAGCTCAGTGGAGGGATCCTCAATGGCCAAGATATGGTTGGTCCCTGATCTAACCAGGTAGCGAAGACCTGCAACTAGTCTTGAATGTGGAAGGGAATTTCCAGGGCACCTAATCCAGCCTCCCATCCAAAGGGGGAATCTCCTCTATAAGGAGCCTGGCCTTATCTTCTTCTTATTCCCAAACAAATCACTTTCAACAGTGATTCAGAAGCCAAACTAACAGTAAGGTGGTCAAACCATTACCTGGGAGGACAGTTATATGGGGCGGCCCCCTCCAGCTCAGACACTCATCACTTCATCCCTGTGCTGCTGAGACAGCCTCCTGCTGTGGTCTCCATCACCTTCTCTCCAATTCATCCTGTCCCTGCCTCCATTTTCTCTCCCTCAAAATGGCTCTGTTCACTGAACACTACCATTCCTGTGTTCTAAAGCCCCACTGCTTAGGATAAAGGGAATGAGAGCCTGCCATGAGTCAGTAATCATGGCAGGTTCTCAAAAAGTGTGTGCTCATCAGTGCATGCTTGGGTCAACATCTGACTTCTCAAAGGACTGGCTCAAGTCTTCCCTCCTCTATTAAGCTTTCCAGACCACCGACGCCTGTGGTTACACTTTCCACCAAACCACCAAAACACACTTGGCCAAGTACAAGCATGTGGTCGAGACCATATTCTCAGCAAAGTGTTCCACAACCCTCCTGCCGGCTTCATGCATAAGCACAAGGTGCGCTGGGACCCCATCTCATCTTTTCATCGCTAGCACATAGCTCAATGTGGGGCACACTCTAGCAGCTTGTTAAACGTGGATTTAAGGGCTTTCTTCATCCCTCAAACCTCTCTCTTCTGCTGAGGCCACTCAATCACCATGTCCAAGCACAAAAGCCTCAGGAAGGGACGCACCTTTTTCCACTCAAGTCAAAGGAAACAGTGTGCTCTGTGGTGACAGTCAAACCACTCTGGCCTTACAAGCCCAACCTATGACGTAAGTCCTGCCCGGAGAGGCTGGCCCTGCTCACTCTAAGTACAGGACAGAGAGTCCCCAGGCCCAGGAAAGCACAGACGTTCCCCAGAAGCTCCTGGACACCCACTCCTCCTTCTCTCCAAATTATAGGCAAAGACTTTGCATGGAAATTACTTAACCTAGTTCAACCCTCTCATTTTATCCTGGAGAAAACTGAGGCCCAGGACTAGTACCTCTCCAAAGGACAGAGGTAAAATAGAAAAGCCAGGCCTTCTGATTTTGTGGGTAAGATGCATCCTCTTCAGTTCCCTGTGACAATTGTTGTCACAAGGTGGGAGCTCAGGACCACTTTTTGATACTAAGTCAGGGCCACTGTGGGGTTGGCTGTAACTAACTGGGGGATCTCTCAAGCCCATCTTGACCCTCTTCTTGCTTTTTCCTGATCTCTGTTACCTAGCCTACATGTTCCGTATAAACAAAAACTTACTGCTAACCGTAGGACACCTAGTATTATTACTCCAAATTTCTATCTTCACGCCATCTTTATACCCCAACTACTCAGAACTGGTGCTTTAAAGACTCCCAGAGGCACCGTCTCACCCATGCAAACCTCTAATACCTACTATATGCACAAAAGCCTCACCTTTGCCTATGTGTTCAGGTATTGCCATCATTAACCGAACTACACTTGATCCTTTTCCTGTTTGCCCTACATGGTCATGACTCTTTAAATTCAGCCTTCTTTCAGAACCCCTACAATTGATGACCTTGTAAATTTATAAGTCAATTCAAGGCATACAAAAACTTCATAGTCATTTCTACCTCGAGTATATACTTAGCTCACTCACTAGCCTCTGGTTAAAAAGTTATTTATATATAGTGCTAAACATATACTAAATACGGTTCTAAGTGTGCTCCACACACACACACACTCACTTAATCCTAACAACATAGAAGAAAGGTTGGTAGGCTATTACTTTAAGTTTGGTAAAACCCAAATCAAGAGCTGCAGAGGCATAAGTATGGCAACATGCAGACCCCACTGCAGTATTAGCAGTCATCCTGGAAACTTTCAAGGAGTGTGGCTTCCAGGAGCTTTTCCACAGATGTCTGAGAAGCAAATAATCATATGTAATTAAGGCTATTTCCCAAATAGCCTAGGAAAGCTGCCAAAGGCTTTCCCGGCATTGAGAGGCAATCCTTGACAACTGTGAATACTGTAGCCTCTGGATACAAGATGAAGCAACTGCCAACCTTCACCACCCAAGTCAGTGCTGCTCCAGAAAATAAGGTTCCCTTTATCAGTTCATAAGGGTTGCTATAGTGGTATACACGGTTTTACTACTCTTTTGATTCTTGAGAAATGGCTCCTATGGCAGGAAAGCATTAGGATTCACGCCACCCCCAGCTGTAACATAAAGCAAATAAACCATCAAATATATCTAACTAGGATCTTAAGATTTCTCTAAACTGTTCTCTAGAAACACCATTTGCCTTTTTAATGGGGGCACAGAAACAAAAAATGTTTGTTTGCCAATAAACATCTGAAACACTATCGTAACAGCTGATCGGAGCCGAGGCATCACAACAAAGTGACGATTGTGGAAGAAGACAATGCATACAACTCTGGAGCGAGAAACTCCAGGGCAGAGAACCCACAGTGATGTGTGTACTGGGTATTTCCGCCAGCCTAAAGGCCCCATCTGGAACAAATATAAACTAGGAGGGTCTCTATCACTGGACAATTTATTACCTGGACAGAAAGAAGTCACTGCCACCAACAGCACTGTGCAGTTTTATTAACCATTCAAGTACAGTAGCATCTGTTAAGATCGGGACAGAATTGGGATTTAAAAGTGAACAGATATTCAGCATCTAACAGTTTGAAAGAAGCCACTACATACTCTTTTCACAAACATGTTTTCACAGAGCCAATACAGTACTAGCCATTAACCCAGCACACCAAGTGTACTGAAGTAGAAAAGATGCAACAAGAAAAATAGCTACATTAGAAAGACTTCAACACTTTAGAAAAAGAGTAAAACACTTTCAGTTTCTCCCCTTTAGCCCCTAAAACAACATCATACAGTCTGGATCTACCTATACAGTCCTACATCAGCTTCTAGAATATTTGTCAGGAGGGCAAAAATAAAATGACACTGGCCAGTACAGTCTTTGGATATTTAGGAAGGGGAGGGGGAGAAAGTCAGTTCTCAGAACAAATTAGTCAGCTTCAGTCTCATCAGCAGGATCTTTGGATTCTTTGTTCTTCCGCACTTCTTCAATGTGCTTGTCCTGTAAAGAAACAGTACATATCATCAGTCAAGTAAAAAAAGCCTGCCAGGTCACCCCCCAAGAGGCCCAAATCAGCATCAGTACGCATGTTATATAACATATTTAATAATATACTATTATTATATAATTATATATTATGGGAATCACAAAATTAGAGTTCTAAGACATCATCTTTGAACTTCCTGGGTCACTCATGGAACCTAATGATTCAGCCTTCTACTGCTCTTCCAAAGAATGTGCAATTAATGCTGGAAATTGGTGAATACTCCTTCTTATTTAATATAAGATGCCTCTGATTTAACATGTTAACCCCAAAATTGATGACAAAGACACCAAGCACATGTGATCAAGGCAGAGAGTTCAAGCCACTTCGTCGGTGTATCAAACCTCAAGCTCTTAAGCCCCTCAAAGCCAGGAAGAGACACCAACCTTCTCTCGCAAACGCTCCAGTTTGGCAGCCATTTGCGCCTCTCGGTTCTCTTTGTTGGCTTCCATTTTGTGGGTCAGCTTCTCTTCTGCCATTTTACTGAAGTTGTTGTTCTCCTCTATCGCTTTTTGAAGCACTTCCTTCTCATGCTCTCGTTTCTCAGCAAGCTGCTTCAAGACCTCAGCTTCATGGGACTGGAAAAAAATTTAACAGGCTAGGCTCTCTGAAATGTTATTTAGCATAGTTAAAAATCACAAAAGAAATTATTGAGGATTGAAGATAGAAAATTAGATCTCTAAATAATACTGAAGTCAGGACCTGAATTATCCATATCAAAATACCGTGAAAATTATATTCTTTTTCTAGTGTTTGTATTTACTTTGGAAGACTGCCCATATTTGTTCAGATTCTTGCCCAATTATTCCTTAAGGAAATATTCGTAAGATTTACTGCTTAATGGTATCAAGATGACTTGGGTGACATGCACTTAGGAATGGCACTTTATTGTAAAGAATTTTGGTTTTTTAACTTCAAAGACTACCTAAAGAAAATTAGGTCATTATAAAAAATGTAACCATATTGCTAAAAAGAAAATACATGGCAATGATAGAAAATTTAAGACTAAGCCTCCAGATTACTATTTAAGTCAGAGGATTTGTTTCAAGGAAAGGCTTATTAGCTTTTTTCTGTGGAAGCTGCATTAAATTCCAGACCACTGGAGCTCTGTTACCACGGTGTGCCTCCTTCAACAGACTCAGAATAGCTTATTGCCAAACAGATTCCAATGTGTTTGGAAGCATCAACTTGCATGAAAACTTCAGAGCATCTGCCACTGGTTCTGTTAATTCTCTTCTTCAAAATCCCAGTCGTGATAAGAGTTTCACTATATTTAGCCAGTTACTATGTAAAGCGCAGACTAATGACTACAGGGCCAGCACTGATTCCTAAAAAAAGTCTCTGTCCAGCCTTCGGCTGCATCTCTTCCATGAACTCAAACTAAGTGAACTCCATCAAACTCCATCAACTCAAACTAAACAGAAGAGCAGGTGGGAGATGAAACACCATTGCAAACACAGCCACTCTTCCTGGGGAAATAATTCCATGTTGACAGTGGGTCAGCACACGTACATAAAACATGCGGCACCAAAAGGTGCACAGCACATGCTACAGCAGCTTAAAAAGGGGCCCAAAGTGTATGTGTGTGGTTACAGGTACCAGACTTCAAAACACTAACCGTGTTGGTCGTAGGCAGCTTACTGCTTCAACTTTTTGTGCCTTCATTTCTCTAATTTTAAAATTAAACCCACTTACCCCAAACAAGGTTGTTGGAAAGGGGGACTAAATGAGAATTTCTGTACAATTCTTAATGAAACGTTGAATAGAGGGAAATACACCAAAATGTTAATAGTTATTTCTGCGAAGTAAGATAACGGATACTTTTAATTTCCTACTTATAAACTTCTGCGGTTCTCAATTTTTCTATAACAAGCATATTAATATTTGTTGACTTTTCTGACTAGTTCTTTTTAAAGATAGCTACTCTATAACAGCAGTACTTAGATAATAGCTGCCACAATACCAGTATGCCAGCTGAGCAACACAATCACATAACTAGCAATTTAAAATGTTTTTATTGTACAGCTCTCAAAAAACAAAACAAACAAAAAAAACCACACAGACATACACAGAAACCCAAAAAACAAAACAAAAAAACCCCAAACCTTAAGAGACAAAAAAAGAATCATCCACCAACAAATCTATTTTTCAAAAAGAAAGCATGAGAAGCATGAACTTTGGTTTCAGGCAGACCTGGGCTTGAATTCTGGCTCCAATACTCACTAGCTATATGACTCAGAAAAATGACAACATTCCTGAGACCATTTTCTAATCTAGTATCTCAGACAACACCTACCCTCTAGGGTCACTGTAGAAAAGGAGAATATAAGTAAAGGAGATGGTACACAATAGGAGCTCAATAAATGATAGCTGGTATTTTGTTCCCACCACTGGCATATGTAATTTTCACACAGCTATAATCACCATCTGGCTACAATTCTGTTTTCCTCCTCTTATAAAAATAACACAGATTTGCCATATTACATTAATAAATATCCTGGTTTCTGTGAATTGATGTTTACCTTGCGTCTTTCTTCTGCAGCTTCTAGTTTCTTCTGAATTTCCTCCAGGGAAAGATCCTTCTTCTTTGGAGGGGAAAGGGGGAATTCTGGGACAGATTCTTTTGATCGAGGGCTAAGAATCAGCTCAAAAGCCTGGCCTGAGGCACGCTTCTCCAGTTCCTTCACCTGGATATCTGGATTTGATCATATTTATAATATATTCAGAAAAATGGAGTTTTCCTATTCTAATAAACTGTTCTACCGTTTTCTAAAAACCAAATCAATTTAATGAATAGAATTAGGGCTGATGAAGCAGCTGTGTTTACAGGCAAGAAATTATTATCTAAATACCACCTCCCAGAAAAACAAAGCTCAACATTTTTGGATTAATAAATACCATTCTAAGATATCAGTATTTGACAATCATTTCCCTGAACAAAACAAAGACTTACGCAAAACTCCACATTTTGCTTTACACCAAGCCAAATCATCTAATAATGAAATAATAATTATGAGCTCTCAGTACATTCAAGTAATACTAATTTTTTCTTTTTTAATTATTCTCTGATTTATAAAATAGATTTTTTTTTTTTTGGTAAGACCAAAGCACAAGTGCCAAATTATAAGCTTAAGACTTGAGCCATCTCCTATTCTAAAATTAGAAGCCCATCACAATTTCGGATTTTCCAAATAGATTACCTACCAGAAGAAGCCATGGTGAACAGAAGACAAGAGACTGGCAGTGTATTCTACACAATCCACTAGCAAGGAAAACCCTGGAAACGATTTTCAAAAGCATGCGATCAATTTCTTTGCATTTCCATGCCATCGATTCAAAGGGACCTCAAATCACATCCATATAAATCAATGTCAGAAAAATCACTACTGTGGGATTAAATAAGACATCATTAACTAGAAAATTATAAAAATCCATAAAATACTCCAACACTGGAAAATCTGAATTGAATAGAACGCTGGTTGCAGAAGATGAAGTTAACTGAGCTTGCCTGTTCAAAAAATACTTATATTTTTAAAATTAGATGGAGTTTATGTCACAAGATTTTTTCCTCCCCTATATTTTCCCCCTGGTGAGAAGATATTCCAGGTTCAACGCCTAGTGAGACCGGAGCCATCTTAACACTGCCTACAACTCATTGTGCAAATGAAATACCCAACCCTGCTTTGTCTGTGTCTGCCATGTGGAAAACAAAACGCCCAAGCTAATATTAACCAATAATGTCGAACTCCCATTGTTCCTGCGGTTTAAGCTCCTTGTCCAACAGCTGGTAACATTAATTAGTTTTTATGAACCTCTAGGTTTTAGGTTACAATAGTTGCTGCCTTGTGTAGAATTTTTTCATGAAAAATTCTACATCCCTTGATTTTTTTTTAAAGGTCATGATTCTTGTAAACCCCAGACTAGTACCAAAACCGTAGGCATACAGGGTCTCAACACCTGGAACTTAAAATCCGAGTCAGCAACACGGTCTAACCCCGGAGGAGCAGTAGACTCAGCATCAGATCCAGGGTGGGCGTGGCCCTGGCCCAAGCGAGGAAAAGCGGCAGGCCGCCCCCGACCAATCAGAGCATGCCCTACACTCCGGCCTCTGGCCCCGCCCCTTCCTCCCCGCGCCTTTTCGAATCTCCCCGAACTCACAACACCCCGGAGCCCGCGCGCGTGGGAAGGGGCGGGATAGGCGGGGCTAACGGTCCTATCCGGGTAACTCCGCCCTTCCCGGGCTCGCCCCGTGCGGACGCCCCCACCAACTCCCGCCAAAAACACCTTGCGGCGGCCCCCACCCTCGCCGCAGCTGGGCGGGTGGGGCAGTCCCCGGAAAAAAACCGTGGGGTACCCCACCATCGGCTCACCACCTCTTTCCTTCACTTCCAATCTGCCGCCACCCAAGCGGTCCGCGCCCCACGCCGCGAGGACTGGAGCGTTCTCATGGGGTGTCAGCCTCTCGGGCGCTGCTCCCTGGGGGCGCCGCCCCGCCCCTTCAGACAATGGGGACCCCAGCGGGGCCGCGGCTGCAGGAGGAAGGTGGGGGCCAAACGAGGGCCTACGCCCCCTATTGTCTCCTCGACGACCTCCCGGGGCTAACGCACCGAGCTCGCCCAGCAGGCTGCGCCCCTTCCCCACCACAGCCGCGCCCCCGGGGAGCAGGGACAAAGCCGAGGCTCCGCCCGAGCCACACACAAAGCGGAGCGATCCCCGCCCGCCAGACCCTCTGGGGCCGCGGCCCCGCCCGCCGCCCTCCAGCAAGGGGTCGCTGCCAAGACCCTGCCCCTCCCTCCGGCCGCGTCCCTCTCGCTGCCCCCAGCCTGCAGCCGCCGCCGCCACCTCCTCCTGGAGCCCCGCACCCACCTGCTCGGTCCGAGCCGCCTGGCCACACTCTGAGCACCCACAGACCCGGGCGCGCACAAAAGCGCCAAACAGCGGCACGTGACCTCCCCGCAGGGCTCCGCATTGGCTGAGAGAGGCGGCACGTGCCGGCCCCTCCCCACCCCCGACAGCCCAAGTGGGCCCCGCCCCTGGGGACCCCGGAGCACCTCGGGAAGTGTAGTTCAGGCTGGCGGGACAGAAGGACAATGCGAGGGGTGAGGGCTTCTTGGCGGTGTCTCCAGGTGTGAGCCGGGGGCTGGGACGGTCGTCTGGCCGCGGAAGAGGGTGATGCGGTGACCCTGCCTGGGTCTGAACCAGTTCTCCCATCCTTAGGAAAAGGGCGGGGCAGGGTCCCTTTCTACCTCTCAGACGGTGGTCGCCTGGACTCCGCGTCTGTTGAGCCACTTGCCCCACGTCGCCCCAAGGGCAGCACTCGGACAGCGCATTGCCCCTTCGGTGCCCCACCCTCTACCTCCACCTAAGACGCCCAAGCCCTTGTGACAGGACAATGCCACTCGACGCCCCCATCTGTCACCTGTATTGTGACATCATCATAATCTCTAACCCACTCAGCCCTAACAGGGCACGGGCGTGGCCCTTTAAATCACTGTGTGAGTTCTCGCTACCATATTAGGGTACCTGAGCTGGTGACCAGAGACCTGTGGGGGGAAAGCAAGAGACTCTGGAATTTGATCTCCTTTGGTCTAACAAAGTCACTCGGCTTAAATGCAGACTCCCATCTGTTCTGCCAAGCCTTTTGCCGGATGATAGGGAAGGAAGCGCAATAGCAGTTCTAGACTACTACACAGACTGCAGTTAAGTGTTGCTTTTGTTCTTGAAGCACGTGCTCCCTGATCGGTGGGGGCCCTTTTAAAGAATCAAAACAAAAGTAGCCACAAGGTCACGGTTCCCCCTGCCCTGGATAGATCAGAAACACAGCAGATACACAAAGGAAATTGGTCTGACCCTGGCTATCTTAGAACGACTAGCCTCATTCTTACCACCGAGGAAAAATAAATAAAATGAACATGGTTCCCAAGCCTCTTCTCCCATTCCCCCGACCAAGGCTCTGTCCTTGGTGGTGGTCATTCCACCAAAGCACCTGCTTTGAGGTCCTGACTAGGCAAAAGGACACCTTCATTTTATTGCTCCGCCTCCCCAAACCAAGAAACAAACACGACCCAGTTTGCTGAAACAGGAGTCCTAATTTAAAGACTCCCCATGTCCAGCTAGTCACTAGGGATATGCTGGAGTTAAATACAATTCAGAGTGCCTGAGACAAGGAAAACTGGATCATACAGGCAGCAGACACACCACACAAAGCAAACAATTAGCAATGCACTGATGCCTGAAATATGCTTGTTGCAGCATTTTCTCCAACAATCGTCCTTGTGTGGGGTCGGCCTCTCCCCCGCCCCCAGTCTAAGTGGTTTTCCCTTAGCATGTGAGCAGGACCAGGAATAATTCAGATTCTGAACCCTGAGAGCCTTCTCCCTCTCAGACCAAACTTAGCCACCAAACAGCCAGGTGTTTCCATCTTTCAGATTTTCCGAGCAAAATCTCAGAAATCGTTAGGAAGAGGAGTGGGGATAAGAGCTCACTGAAAAGTGACAGATTGGCAGGCAACACACACAAGCAAGAAACCCAAGGCCAAGAGGTCTGTTATCCCCTGAACCAGCCTTTATCTTGAAGTCTTTGTACTTGATCTGGAGGTTTGCAGAGGAAGGTCCCACCCATTTGATACACTTTTTTTTAATACAAGAAATTGCCACAAAAATCTCACATTTCTGACTATTAATGTTTTGACAGAAAAAAAAAAAATCTTTCAAAACACTGATTATTTTAAAGCACTTATACCGCTTCCCCCTACCTTTTCTTTCTCCCTGGAGCAGATGTCTATTTCCATGGAAACCACAGCTAGGAATGAAGATGTTAGAACTCATGTAGATTTTTAATCTTTTTTTAACGATGCCACTTGGCTCCTGGGTTTGTTGATAGAAGCCTGGCCCTGCCAGCCTGTATGACAAGGATTTCCTGAGATCCCCACTGCTGCTTGAGGACTTGAGGGGGCTGGAGTAAGGTTTCCCACAGAATGATCCTGTGAATAAAAATGTGTCCAGTGGGATGATCCTATTCTTTAGGATGGGGCTGCTTTTCTAAGAGCTAGACCACAGCTATCTATTGTCAACTCTTTTTTTTTTTTTTTTTTTTTTAGCCACATCGCATTGCAGGCGGGATCTTAGCTCCCCCACCAGGGATCAAACCCGTGCCCCCTGCAGTGGAAGCTCAGAGTCTTAACCACTGGACCACCAGGGAAGTCCCAATTGTCAACTCTTATGAGTGTTCATGTATGAGCCTTGGAATAGGAAGGGCTTCAGACTGTAAGGAGAGGAAACAGCTTTGCCATTTCACTTTGGAGAAGGGCAGAAGCTCCCTTCTTGGAAGCTTCCTAAAACTAACTTCAAACTCCACTCCCTCCTGAAGTGGCAGCAAGGAGTTAATGTTCACATCTTGGAATTGTCTGTCTTTGCCCATGAGAATTATTTTTGCCTCTGCTCAGATGGTTTGGTCGAATTGCTGTGGGGCTGGCTGCGACTATGGATTAACACAAAGTGAAGTGGAGATATGGCAGCCATCCAGCTTATTTGATCTGTGTAGACAGCTAAAGGAGAGCGCTTCAGGCTTCAAAGTGCAGAAGGGATGTCTACACTGATCAAACAAGCTGGGCTGTTGTCAGATCTGCTCTGTTCTTACAGAGCACCGGCAGCCTTTGTTCATTGTTGGTTCTGAGGCTGCAGGGTTGTCTGCCACAGAGGCGCCTCCAGGTTCCACTGCTGCTTACAGGGCCTGTCCTTGGCAAAAGGGTGTCGTGGGAGAGGTTTTCTCCTTGTCCCCAGCCTCACTGTTCCCTTTGTCCCCTAATCCTTAGGCATCGTGCTCTAACACTCCTTTTCCTGTTCAAAACCTGTCTGTGAATCTGCTATTTTACTTGTCTGTCTCCCTCACTAGACAACTAAGTCCACGAGGGCAGGAGTTGTGTCCTTGTCTCAGTATCCTTAGTGCCTGCCCAGAACTGAGCCTGGCCCCGGATGGTAGGGCCTGGATGTTTTAGGCAAGAACCACTTTTCTCATCCTCAGCTTCCTCTTCTGGTACTGGACACCTCCACCAGATAGAGGTGGTGAGGATTAAATGAGATAATATATGTGAAAGTGCTTAGCACAATGCCTGGCACATCTCAGTGCTGAGACTTGTTAACCATTATTGCTAGAGAAGTTTCTTGATCACTATAGGTTACTGAATAAATGAATGAATGATGACTAGTAGACTTTCTCCTTTTGGTGGGAATCATTGTCACTGGCTTAACTCTTCCTATGGGGTATTTTTAAAAATTCAATTAATGTAACATTTTGAATAGATCAACACATTCACATAGTTTAGAAATAAAGTATAGAAAGTCCTCCTCCCTTCTCTGTCCCCATCTGCCCAATTCTCTACTTACCCCTCCCCCACCTTAACCATTGTTATCAGTTTCCTATGTATCCTAGCGTTTCTCCATGCGTACATAAGCACATTTTAGCTATGTATACTTATTCCCCACTTCCTAATAAAATGGTAGTCTGCTGTAACTGCCCTGCACTTAGCACTTTATCAGTTAACAGTACATATCAGTGATCTTTTCCCTGTTCATACATCAAGCATTTCCTGGATCTGGGATCCAATGTATGAATGTTCCATAATCTAGTTAACCAGTGCCCCATCCATGGCTCTTAGGTTATTCCCAATTATTTGCTATTTCAAACAATGCTGTAATAAACAAGCTAGTATATATGGCATTTTCCATGTGGGTAAGTATATCTGAAAGTGTGGTATTGCTAGGTCAAAGGGCAAGTACATTTGTAATTTGGATAGTTCCAAATTGCCTTTCATAGGAGTTGTCCCAATTCAACACCCACCACAAAAAAATGGTGTTTTAATTCATTATCTCAGTTCATTAAAAAATGGATGGGGCTTCCCTGGTGGCGCAGTGGTTGAGAGTCCGCCTGCCAATGTAGGGGACGTGGGTTCATGCCCCGGTCCGGGAAGATCCCACGTGCCGCGGAGCGGCTGGGCCCGTGAGCCATGGCAGCTGAGCCTGCGCGTCCGGAGCCTGTGCTCCGCAACGGGAGAGGCCACAACAGTGAGAGGCCCGCGTATGGCAAAAAAAAAGAAAAAGGATGGAAAGGCTTTGTTCCTAGAAATTTCAGGCATTAGGGAAAAGGAGGGGGAGGACTAGAAATCCCAGGAAAGACATGGCTGTCAGTTCTGTCTATATTAATAACTCCTCTCAATACTTGAAAAGCAGCAGCTGATCTCAGAACAGCTCTGGTGCCTGCACTGTATCACTGTCTCAATCAGTCTTGTGGTAGAAGTATCTGCAGGTGTCACCATGAGATTGGAAGATTATTGAAGGCAGGGTCTTCTTCATAGCTGTATCCCACTCCCCTCTCAGGCACTGTGATGCCTGACACAGTGGCTGGCATATATTTTATTTAATCCATTCTAAGATGTATTTTCCCCCACATTTGTGTATCTTTGAAATCAGTGTGCTCATAGTCCATAAGTACCAGGTCATAATTGCTGACAGCATATTTTCTTAGTGGCATATAAAATAATGCTATCTTAAAAATAAATGGCATATGTGAGTCAACAAAATATGGTAAAATGCACACACATTAAATGTGTGAGTGGAACGGGGCCTAGATGTCACTGCCCCTGCCACCTCCTCACTCTATGTTCTAACCTTCATCCCTCTTATCTACCTCCATGCCTTCCTCCAACAATTCCTTTTATGGGGATGACTCCCTGTTTGCCTTCTTGAGCTCTTCCCTCTTTCTCACCCAAGCTTCCACTTATAGAAACTTAGCATTTTCTAATAGAATGGAACCTTTAAAATGATAGTAGCTACAAGAACAAAGCTGGAGGACTCACACTTCCTGATTTAGAAACTTGCTACAAAGTTACAGGAGTCAAAACAGTGTGGTACTGGGATAAAGACAGATATATAGACTAATGGAATAGAATAGAGAGCCTAGAAATAAACTCTTGCATATACAG